TAGATTACATTGGCGGAGGTGCACGTGAAGTGATCGGTGATCTTAATGGATCGTTTGGGTCCCGATATTTTCTCAGTGTTGTGAATGAAAGGACGCGTTTTGCATCGTGCACGAGCGCATTTAAAAGTGCCTGGTTGGTCAATAGTCTGAAAAGAACTTCTGACCAAAAAATTGCCTATGTTTTTGTCGCGTTTGAATGAAATGAGCGGAGGCTGCGAAAAGATTATTGTTGTCTCTCATATAACAGCCTTGTCATGCAGAAGTCCTATTTATACCTGATTTTCCACATATGGAATCAACTACCAACTGTCACCAAATCCTCGAGCACTTTAGCACAATTTCGTGCTCGGCTGAATAATGTCAATTTCACAAAAAGAAACTTCTGAATAAGTTTGACTTAGCCGAAGTCTTAGGTATTACTGATAGTATGAAACTCGACCTTTCTGGACTAAAATATGCCTACATACCCTGTGTTTCGCTCGAGAAAGCGAAAAGCCGACCTATTACCGACGAAATTACGACAGAGCTACGAATTCGAGAACAATTGACCTCAGTCTAGCGTCTCTTCTACCAAAGAAGCCTGGGAACGACGTCGGACGAATCAAAATAGAATAGCTTTAGCCTCGTTCCCAGGCTAACTCCCTCCCTAGTAGTTAAACTTATAAAAGTTTAAAATAGCTCTGACTACTTTGTTCGTTGCACTATTATTCCAACGTGATCGTAATGCTCTGGAAAATTCCAACTGTATTCCATCAACATTTCCTCCATCTCTGGATCCAAATTTTGCCACAGTGTAACCTCCAGACAGATAAATTCTCACGGCTGATTTTCTTTTCTTACTTTGCGGGGAGGGTATCGCATGTAAGCCCTGCTGATTCATAAAGTACCCAAGACTTCTGTTACCCTGGACAAATTCCTTAAAACAAACATTGTCAGTTCCACACCAGTGTTTACCAAGGCTTCTGATAGAGGACATGTCCATGCTATAGTCTCCCCTGTCGAGATATTTCCCATGAACCAAGTAGCCTAACACGGTTCTTTGTACGTGATCAGCACTGCCGTGAATATCCAACAGCAAGCCGCGTCCAGTTCCACGCCTAAACTCACGTCCAGTGATGCTCGACCTGGCCTTGTTGATAAAAGAAGCGTAATCGTGATAGGCCGTAATTGCGTCTGAGATATTGAAAGTTGCTTCGTCGATCTCCCTGTTAGCGTCAAGTTTGGTTCTCCTCATCATGTTGTACACGACGTGTGGTCGAAAACCTGTACATGATAAGGCAAAGGTCAATTTTTATCGCCCCACAGACTATTACAAGCCTCCACGGGGGAATGAGTACTTTTTTAGTATTTTCCTAGTTCTCAGACGGGTCTTACTAGAGAGGAAGGTGGGGAAGAAAGGGAACAGAAGGCATATGGGACTTAGTATAGAGGGAGGCATAAAATAAAATTCCTTTTCTTTGACGTGGGGGACTTGAAAGGGAACGGGGGCTTAGTAGAGGCTGATCAGGTAGAAGTTGTTTGCCTGAGGTAAAGATCTTCAGATCAGAGAGGCATAAAATCAGATCAGATCACTTAGAGGCATTAAATAAAATTCCTTTTCTTCGACGTGGGGGCTTGAAGGGGAACGGGGACTCAGTAGAGGTTGATCAGGTATAAGTCGTTTGCCTGAGGTAAAGACCATCAGATCAGATCCTATCTTGTGCTTTAACCGAAAGAAATAAAACGAACACCCAAAACGCAACCACAAGATAACAAGACAAGGATCAACGTCTGTATCTGTGCGACCGCGCACGTACCCCTCCCCCCAACCCAACATTATCCCTGACTTGTTATCAGTTCCTCAACCTGCTTTACCAAATAAAGGATGTATGTATGTATGTATGTAGTTGACTGTTGCTGGGTTAAGGGGGGAGGGTTGGGTGGGCAGTTGCTTACATTGATCCCAATGTTCTAAGGGGACTGGTGCTAAAATGTTCTTGACGACCTGCCATAATACTCTCTTACCTGTTATTGCTTTAATTTCATTGGCAATATCTCGAGCGATGCGCATGGTAAAATCATCCCTCTTTATTAAAGCAATGCACTTTGCAGATTTTAACCCACATCCATGTGTCCAAATACATTCACCATTGGTTCCTTCACAGCCGTTTTTCCTGTATGGCCATCTGCGACCATTACTTTGTGTTGTGGGGTCCAATGAACCCCCATGAGGGACTGTTATGATAAGGTTCATTTCTCCGGGTTCGTATTTAATGTATTGTTTGAAACCCCAGTCTGCTACTCCAAAGATGGCAGGCAAAATAATTTTAATGCATAGAAGATGATAACCTGAAATCATCTGTAAAATAATTCAATTTCATCTTACTGGCTTTCTTGGTAGTTTTAATACAATATATTAAGGGAAAAAACGTATCATGCAGCAGAGAGAAAAACTGTCCGCTCTTGTACGAGAGTAACGGACAAAATTTAAATTATGGAGATTTTGAGTACTTAGTGATATGAAACCTTCCATGGTCAAATTTTCAAGCAAGCAGGCATACACAAACGTTCCAGTCCCCCACCCACCTTTGCCTTAATTTATCTTACTTCTTAATTTAAGATAAAAAAAAAATAATGATAAAAGGTGTAAAAGTAAGCAAAAAAATTTGCTCCATCAGCTCCGCACATACTCCTCCCCTGACCTGCTCTATCAGTTACGCACCTACCCATCAGCTGTGCACCTACCCCTCCCCTGACTTGCTCCATCAGTTACGCACTTACCCCTCCCCTGACCTGCTCCATCAGCTGCGCACTTACCCATCAGCTCTGCGCATACCCCTCCCCTGACCTGCTCCCTCAGTTACGCACTTACCCACCAGCTGTGCACCTACCCCTCCCCTGACCTGCTCCATCAGCTGCGCACTTACCCATCAGCTCCGCGCATACCCCTCCCCTGACCTGCTCCATCACTTACGCACTTACCCATCAGCTGTGCACCTACCCCTCCCTTGACCTTCTCCATCAGCTGCGCACTTACCCATCAGCTCCGCACATACCACTCCCCTGACCTGCTTCATCACTTACGCACTTACCCCTCCCCTGACCTGCTCCATCAGCTACGCACTTACCCATCAGCTGTGCACCTACCCCTCCCCTGTCCTGCTCTATCAGCTGCGCACCATCTCCTCATATGATCCCAATATTAACTCTACCTTGTTAATGGTTGACTGTTGGGTTAATTAGGGGAGGCGTAGCTACGGAGTTGCTTAGATACTGATTTTATTCCGAACCTTTTTAAAGGGCTAAAACTCGAAACGTCCTTTTTTCAAAATCTAATGAGATGGTTTGATTCCGGTGAACACACAGAAAAGTTCCATAGAGGTTATCAAAAGATTTGTCCACTATCTAAGCTTCTCCGAGTAGCGTTAATTCATGAACGAAACATCACGTTTTGATTACTCGGTACTACACGCTTCCATGACACTGCATTGAAACAAACTGTAAGATTCAGTAATCAATCTTGAAACTTACCCGAACCAGCACGGTGTTATATTTCATCGGAACGGAGAATGATTTTCCCCAAAATGAGCCCTAGAAATATCCGAGTCAAAGCAAATAAACGATATTCTTACTAAATCAAAGCGGAAAGAACGCGAGACTCCAATGATTTTCACAATAACAATCTTGATCTGAGACAATCCAGCTGGTACCTACGCCGGGCAGACGGCCGCATAACTCAACCCCTTGTTAAAAATTTGGAAATTTGTCTCACCTATTCCAATTCTGCGCTCATATCGGTCAATAAATTTAGTAGATAACACTGCTAACACTGGTTAAAAAAACCAAATGGAAGGCAAAGAGCAATTATTTCGTGTTCTATGGCAATTCTCCTCGCGCCCACAATGCCCCTCTCATCGCAGAGGTGTGAAATGGATACCAAAGATTTTTTAAAAAAGACCTGTTGGGGTCATGCGTTGGTGTAAAACTTACCAGCAGAATACAAGAGTCCTTTTTGGCTGTTCAAGTACCTTTCATTTCCCCTTAAATCCAAATCCTACGCACGCTTAACTGATAACAAAGAAAACGAAAAAGATAAAAAAAAGGAAAAACAACGATAAATAAAGCTAACGGCCGCAGACAGACTGAGCTTTTCATTTCATTTCGGCTAAATCAAGACCAACGAATTCACACACACACACACACGCACACACACACACATATATCACATCACCCATTCAAAACTAAGGTATGTAAATAAAGACAAATGAATAAAGGGGTGCTGCGTTGGTGGGGGTAATAGGATGATTTGGTTTTATCAACGAAGTTGAAATTGTAAATTGGCCACCGCAAAGAGTTAAAAAGCTGACGTTTCGAGCATTAGCCCTTCGTTAGAGCACTGACGAAGGGCTACCGCTCAAAACGTCAGCTTTTGAACTTTTTATGGTGGCCAATTTACAATTTCAACTTAGACAAAACCAAATTAATATGTAAATAAAGAGGTTGGGGCGAGTAAGCGGCCAGAACGAGATGAAACCTCTTTCTGCTTTTCGCGGATATCCGTATAAGGGGAGCCTCATTTCTACTTCCAAACATAGCATCTAGAGTGCGACAAATATTACCATTCGGACTTATTCAAAATTTAGAAGCTCGCTGTAAAAGCTTGTGGAGTTATTCCTACTTTTAATACACGATAATATAAAACTACCATTTCCTTACAATATTTCAAAACTCTTTGAAAGATTAAAAATACATCTTACGCCTTTACTTGTGAAAAATAAATAATTATAGTGGATTTATCATTAGCAATGAGATCTTAAATTGACAACACCTTCTCAATAACTTGAACCACAATTTAAGAAACACATATAAATTGATCGGACTGTTTCACCCCTTGGAGTGATTCACATGTGAATTCTCCTTACATTAACATGAGCCCCGTTGCTCGGAAGATTGAGCGACCACTGCCCACGGCATCGACGATAAATAAATTATTACATTATTATGACAAGTTAGAGGATGTTATCCAGATAAAAAACCAGATTCTCTACAATGAGTTAAAATAGAATGTATAGCAGTTAGAAGGGGGAATTAGAAGGGAGAGAAGTGGCATCAGAGAATAACAGTTCCAACTGTAACCTATACCACTATGGCAGAAAAACAGATTGGTGCGTGAAAGATCGTTCTGTGAGAACTTGAAGATTTCTTTTCAGTTAAACTTCTAGCCTGAATGGGTAACTTTCAAATGATTCTGTCTGGCTCTGTTTGTTATATATTCAGCAGTTCCAAAAGGTTAATGTTGAAGCCTAGTCTGGAAAAATAAACAAAAACAGTTTGCAAAACTGATAGAGATATTGATATAGTTCAGCAGAAATTTAAAACAAGAAGCATCAAAGCTTAAGAGAGATTTCATTAAGGACACTTACCTAACTGGGCAGCAATCTGGAAGATTAGTCCTTTATTAATCAACAAGATACGGCACTAACCATCCTAAACCATCCTCTGTTCGACCTACAGGATTAAATCAAAAGTCAGAGGAGAGCTCTTGTCCAAAATCGGACACTAATGTTCAAAATCAGATACTTCTGTCCAAGAAAAAGAAAATATCTTCCCAAATCAGACACTGCTTCCCAAAAGCAAAAACTATCGTACCACATCGGACACTATCATCCAAAATTGGACACTTCCGTCCGAAAGCAAACACTATCATCCATATCGTCCAAAGTCAGATACTTGTGTCTAAAAAGGACACTAGTGTCTATAATCGGAAAATAGAATCTAAAATCAGAAACTAGTGTCCAAAATCAGACTTTAGTGTCTAAAGTAAGACATAAGCATCCAAAATAAGGCATTATTGTCTAATGGGACACTACTGTCTAAAATTGGACCTTGGTGTCTAAAGTCAGACACTAGTGTCCAAAATCAGAAGCTTGTGTCCAAAATTGGACACTAGTGTCTAAAATCAGAAACCAGTGTCCAAAATTAGACATTGCTGTTCAAAATCAGATGACCAAACTTGGTGTTCGAAACCGTGCTAAATTGGTCAGAACTTGTTGAAAATTGGATGGATGATAGTGAAACCAGATAGACACATCTGAAATCTGACATAATGAATTGTTATATTGAATATGGACAAATCATATTGTAAAAAATAACATATAAAAAGGATGATATTCACATGAGTTATATTGTAGAAAATACAATATAAATAGGGCATTACCTCTAGGATGATATTCACAGCCTATCCAGCCTTTGTATCCTAATTTAGCTAATTGATGGAATATAAAAGGATAGTTGATTTCTCCATCTAAACTTGGTTCATTTCGATTTGGTACTTGGCTTACTTGGATATGGCCTAAGAAGTTCGATAAAACAAATAAACAAACAAACAAAATAATCAATAAAAAAATTAAGAAATATGAAAAAAAATTGATTTAAGTTGTGCAGAGGGTGGCATATAATAAAAGATTACTGTCTAGGCATATGCCAGAAAACTCTGATAATAATGGAGGATGTATCTGATCTCAGTGAGGGGTAGAAACTTCCAGCAACTAGAAGGGATGGGAGGGTGGTGTCCTGTTACTTAGCTTGATGAGTATTCAGATGTCAGTTCTTGTTTTCAGTTAATTCATACTCCACTCCCCAACCCAAACTGGTTGAATCACCCTACCCCCTGAGAATCCCAGTTTCGCACTACATTTTCCTAAATGTAGCCATTAGAATTTCTCCCTTTATTTTCCAGTGACATTTCACAAGGAAGGAAAAAGTATTTCAGGAATAATTAAAAATGCTAACGTGATTCAAGAAATTTTAGAGAGAAGGGACTAAAATGAAGACAAAGAAATACCCTTCTAAAGATGTTGGTAAATTAAGGGAGAATGACACAGAAGTTGGTTTCCCAGAACTCTAGCTTTATAAACCAAATCAGGGCATAATGCATATCATTCACCCAACAGTTTGTAACAGCCAAGTCATTACAAACCATGGATTTGATAGCAAAAATATTGCATATGCATCTACAGCTGATTTTAATTCCTGCCAGAGCAACTAGCTGTCCCAGTTCATGAAGCAACCAAGAGTATCTGCTAGTATTAGTTCTCATCCAGCAAGGAAAACGGGTCTTTTTTAGGTCTTTATGTTTTTACCTTATACTCTACTTCATTAAGCTTTTCCAGAAAAGTAATACCCACTGAAAACAAAATGTTATTTTTAAGTGGATAAGATAGCTCTTAAGGACACCGAGCTGTATAAACACCAGTATCACACAGCTCAAGTCACAAATTTCTGTTGAACTTCTAAGATCAGTGCACACATGCATGAGATGTTCATGAACGCCTTTTTACAGCAAGATAGAACACTCCTTAGACTGCAAAATAAATGTTGCCACAGCAGGCATCTAACAAAGTGTGTATCCACGAGCTTTTGCTGGATTTTTACTAGACATTTTGATGCAATTTTGTTCAATTTTTAGGAATTTTATCAAAATTTTTGTAAATACTTTTAATGATTATAGTGAATAAAGGTATATCCGTTATTTTTTTTTTTAAGTAGAAATTTACCTATATAAGGCATGCAATCAGTCAAAGTCTCTGTTAAATTACCACTTGTACGTTGATGATGGAACAAATCCTGCAAATGGTTCAAAAATTAATTTTAAAGACCAACTTATCTAAGACTTAGTATGAAAGTAATAATACATGTTTAAAGTGACAAAAGTTTATCACAAATGGGTAAAGAAATAAATATAAAAATTAAAATAGTTTTGAAATGAAAATTTATTAGAAATTCTTTCTTTAATTCACACTTCATACTGTTTTGCATTTCTAACAACTTACCAAAAGAAGTTTCATATTTTTATGGTCTACTTTCTTGATCAAATTGATTGCTGTCAAAACAGAATTACTAGATGTTACCAATATGTTTTGTCTTATATGAAACAAAAATAATTAACTAGCAGAACAATTAAAAAATTATTATATCACTATCAGTAAAGAAGAAACACAAGTAATACCTTGTTGTGTAAGAGACAGGAAATATCCTGGTATTGTACTGATAGGCTCTAGTAGGAGGGTGATTCCACACTGTAACATTTTTCAGACAAGAACACTTAGTCTAACTGCTTGTGCATAATGTGTTGAGTACAGGCACAAATATTGTTTCTTAGCACTCATGCACATAAATTTTTTCCATTGTATCCATATAATACCTCAGTCTGACAGAACTTCTGGCTGTCCCTCTCGTTCATCTGCACATTAGTCACTTCTCACAAGTGCACTTTTGAGTTTGTTACAAAAGTTTTCCTATCAGAGGTTTTGTTAACAATTTACCTCTTCTAGTCTCTGAGCAGCATATTTCATATTCTTCACATATATCTCTTCCCATAGCACTGCCAACTTGTTATCTGTGTTTGTAACACCCTTTGGAAACACACCAGCTAATACATGCAGTCTAAAATATATGAAAAGTATCAATGATGGTCTTAAAAAATCATGGAAGCTTAGACAGACAAATCCTACAAAATGACATAGTTAATGATAACTTAATGCAATAACTCCCAAGCATGACCAGTCAGTAATTTTACATTACCAAATCATTTCATTGTTGAGTAGGAAGGTTATGAAAAAAGTAGAATATCAGTTAAGGTGATATTGCTTTATAAAACACCAAATTCTCAGAGCTCAAGTTATAAATATGTATGAGAAGTAGAAACAAGTTAGAATTTATTTTGATATGTTTGGGATGAAAGGGATAAAAGGTACTGCAGAGAACTTGAGACGGAAGAAGAAAACAGTCTCACATTACCTTGTACATCTAACAGCTTCTGCATATTTAATAGATAACTCTAAGCATTGCTTAAATTCTTCCTCTCTACCAGGTACTGCAGCAAGTCCTTGAGAGCCACCTAAGAGAAAAAGAAACATGATAATGAAATAAGAAAACATAGCTTGGCATGTTGCTTCAAAATCATTTCCTTAATTTTCCTTACCAAAACATAATTTTTCTATCTAGTGCTGTTGTGATAGCATGAAACAAATTCCAAACCGACATTCACCACGTTCATTTTTTCCTACAAATTTTCGTGGACAAAATCGTTGACACATTGACCTTTTCAACCCCCTATTACTTCAATTTTATCTCTTTTTCCCCCTGTTAAGTTAACCTTTTGATCCTCCCCTTCCCCCCAAAAAAACACAAAAACAAATGTTTTATTGCTGCGATTCCATGAAATTTTAGCTACATACAGGCAACATTGAATGTGAGGGGAGGGGGGGGGCTTGTCAATGACTACTGGTAACAAGTGCTTACCATCAAAAGAATTCATGAGAACATGTTCTATTTGTGCATTTTCTCTAGCATTAGATAATTCCTCAAAAGGAATATCTAGTGGAAAACCTGATTCCACTGCCTTGAAACCTGTGAGGTAAATAACAGAAATTAGGAAAGCGAGTGGCAAAATAATGAGGGTGGATAAGACAAACCAAAAGCAAATATGATAAATGGAAGAAAAAGCAAATAATAAGTGAAAGCATGAATGAATGAATGAACAAATGAATGCATGAATGAATAAAAGAATGAACGTATATATGAATGTATAAATACATGAATGAATGAATACATGAAAAACAAATGTAGGAAAAAATACAAAAATTTTTTTCAATAAACCACAAAAAAAAAGGAATATACAAAAATATTTTTATCAATAAACAGCAATAAACGAGTACAGGAAAAATACAAAAATGATATTATCCATAAACAAATAAGAAGAGGGAAAATAAAAATACAGCCTTATTAAATGAGATGAGACTAAATTATACATGAATAAAACGAAAGATGGGAAATTGGATAATTTCTTTGATAGTATTAGAAAACCCTTTTTCCAAAAAAAGTATACCTTAGGCTTTTATCTCTAATACATAGGAATGTTAACCACAGTTAGAGAAAAAGAATGGTACACATAAATAATCATGAAAAAAAATTATCAAATTCAGGTCCCTTCCTACAAGTTTCGAAAACGACTCTAGCAGTGGAACTTGTAAATGGCTACTACTCCAAAAAGCTGATATATTCAAGTTCATCACCTGCATTTTTGGCCGCTTGGTATCTATCAAGGAAGTTTTTATGCTCCAAAAATGTAAACGATAAGTTTGCAGCAAATTTTAAGGCCATGCTGTTCAAATCATCCCCGCCAGGGACTACACAGTTTAAATGTACTCATGAAACTGAGGCAACATGACGTCCTGCTTACCATATTTGGTAAGATTTACCCAAATAAAACCCATGGTAACGCTTCTACAATGACGAAGGTCATGCATTCTAACGTTGTTTAGAAGTAATTTCTCTCGGAAAATTTCGAGAGAGGCCCTTTTAGTTTTTTAATATGGCTCTTTTGAATCGAAAACTGAAAGAAAAGGATGCAGACAAGCTCCCTTTGATGGAGAAGTCTGAGAAAGTTGTAGTCGATCTCGATGAGGACGACGAAATTGGCGAAGATGCTTTTGTACATCATGGAATCACGCTATGGGTTTCCGATGCTCTCATCATGATAGTACAGCATATACAGATTTTTGCGTTGATATTAGCCATGGGAGAACGCTGGGGCTATCCTAAAACGTTTGTGCAATACGCCTCATACGTGTTTATCTTTAATTTAGACATTTGGGAATTTCTCAAAGTCTCTTCCGGAGCATATACTGGTCCTCAAAACCTAAACTCGTTCTTGCCTTCGGAAAGTATCGGCATAAACTATGGTTATTATTTGTTAGGATGGACCATTGGAGTCGCTGTGATTGGATGTGCATTTTTGATAACTTATGCAGTGTTCCTTCATCGAAAACCACTGTATCTGCTGCTTCATGTTGCGAGGATGAAGCGTGTTTTCAGCGTTTTTATCCAGCTTGTCTGCCTACCTGTGGGTACTGCATATGCCCGTGTTTTCCATTGTCGAAGCGATGGAGTGTGGAATGTTGAAAACAGTGTAAAGTGCTACAGTTCGGACAGCGTCGAGCATTTGGTGTTTGTTGCTATCGCAGGTCTGGTTGCAATTCTTGTGTTCCTGGCCTACCCAATAAACATGATCAGGAAAATTCGTGGTCAAGTCGTCTGTTACAGTGAAGAAAAACATGAGGGTTACTTGCAACTTAAAGAAGCCGAATACAATCAAGGACTTGACATTTTATGGGGAGTCGGACAGTTCCATCTCTTCTCATCATTCCGCCGGCTTTGGATTTTTTACAGACCCATCATGTTCATTTTAAAATTTTGCCTTGTGTGTTTTTATGCAATGTTCCTGTTTTTTACCGAGAGCAACAGATTTACTTTGGGTCAACGTCTTCTCACCAACCTTCCTATTTTTGTGTTCTTTTTCCTTATTCTTTTTGGGTTGTTTTCTTCTGGCCTGGCCCGCCCTCCTATAAAAGCTTTCAGGGCTTTCACGGGCTGGTGTTGCTGGAAAGGTATTTCACGACTGTTACATGTTCTTTTCAATATCACTCCAACTTGGGTGGTTGCGAAGCTCTTTCTGGTTCTATTGGCAGGTGGTTTGTTCACCATTGATCGGTTAGGTGGTGGAATAGGAGCATTACTTTCTATGCTAAGTCTGATAATGGTCCGAAGTCTTCCTTTCCGTGTTTCAGCATTCAACTTCATGATTCTGTTCTCCTTACTTATCAATGTGGGTAATGCATATATCGGTGTCATGGTGGAGATGTACAACAATGGTGAACTTGTGAATGCCTTCTTTGTGCCTCCCATTCCAGAATTGATATTGACTTGGGTGAACATAGCTTGGCTGTGTGTTGCAGTTCTGTGGCTTGTGTATCTCTTGCTCCGGTACTTGCACATTGTACTTCCAAAGCAACCTCTCTGGCCAATGCTAAGTACAGATGGAAAAAGCAACATCAGTGAAGAAACAAAGAGGTACATGCGCGCTGTTCTGAGAGGCCGTCATACATTGGAGAAAGCACTTTCAAGCCCACCCATGTTTGCACCTGTTCATGAGCTGGAGAGGCAGATTCACATCATCAATGCATACTGCCGAGAAGCAGAATTCTTGGATGATCCAACCTTTGATTCCCTCTGGGATCTTCTTGATGAATTGATTGAAGCTCATAGAAACTTGTCACCTCAGTCGCTGTTTGCTCTGTCAGTGAAGAAGACTATCCGTGAGACAGCAAAGGAATTCATGGTCTTGATGCCGCAGATGAGAAAAAGGCTCGATCAGCGTGAATATGATTTCATCCTAATGGATCCTATGAAGAAACGCATGCTTTTGAAAATGTATGTGCTTGGTACATTTGTGAATGGACGTATGGATAAAGTCAAACATGATGTTGAACAGAAAGTTTACATGGCACTTAAAGAGGCAGAGAAGACCAAAACTCCATCAAGTCTGTATGGTAGCTCCACAGCATTTGACTGGGACAGTATGATTGACTTAGCTGGTCCTTATTCAACTTTTGATGCAATGAGAACTGTTTCCAGCACAGGTAGTCGACCTGGCACCTCATTCTCAGTGGCTTCTAAAGCAGATAGTGTAGATAAGCTGTTGGATGAAGTTGAAGATTGGGAGGAAGGACAAGAGATGGCCAAAAGAAGAAAGAAAATATCAGTAGGATCAATGCCATTGATTGAAGAACATCCTTCTTCTCCTTCGGGTAAGCTAGTTCTATATTTACAGTATAGATTGTCAGAATTCCCTTAGCACTTGCACTCCCAAAGGTGATTTTGAAATAATTACCCTTTCACTCCCAGTATCTAAATGTCAATGCTCTGTATTGTCCCCCATAATTTGCTTATGTTTCTAGCTCATAGAATTTGATGTCAAATCAAGCAATATCCCCATATCCCCCTCTTGACATTTTCTTTGTTTCATTACCTTTCATCGTGAAGATGTGTGGATATTGTAAGGAGACATGCCTTCAGTTGTTGGTTTCTCCTGGCCAGTCGGAGAGAAAGGGTTAACTTCCCCTGATGAGAGTTAAGAGTGTAATCTTGACATAAGACCAATTTCTCTTGACAAATTTGTTAGGAAATATACAGCAATAAGAAGGGAGAATTTACATGCTAGATCTGGATAGTTTAAAGGTTAATGAACACTGCCACTTACAAGCAACCATACTCAAGGCTGCTTGGTTGAATTTTTTTTTTCTTTTTTTTGCAAACTTATTGTACACACATACATGACAGTTTCACAGACAGATTCCTGTTTCTAGGTATTCTCTTACATCTACGCAAAATTTATAATCCTAATATGCCATATTTTGTTTTTGTATTCTGCAGCTCACCATTACCTGCATGCATTGTATTCTCCCTTGTCATGTTTTGTTTTTATGGCTTGCAGCCACTTATTATAATGACCACATTTTTGGAATTCTAATGTGGTGTTGCATTTTTAACTAAACACTTTGGTGGTGAAAAATAAGCTTGTTTTTTTTTTTTCTTGGGTTTCTAGGCTCCACAGGCTCATCATCTTCTCTACCTGGTCAAGTTAACTTTGCTAATGATTGACCATGACTCAGAAGTGCTGGACGCTCCTCATTGCAGAGCCAAAGAATGATAGATGGTTCAACTATATCAACAGCATTAATTGGAGACAGTTCTGCTGAAGAACAGCCTAGTAGCTCTCAATCACAGTCATCATTAAGAAGTGGTGATCGCATTCCATTATTGTAGTATTGAAACTGTTTTTTACAAATGAATATTTCAACATACTAGGATACATTCAGGCATTGACTGACACCAGTTGTAAAAAGCATCACCTGAACTATGGCCAGCATTCAGTAGCAAGAGTGTACTTTCCATTCACCTTAGTTGAGAAGGCTCATTTCTATTTTTAAACCCAATCACAATCATCGTCATGAGTATTGATCATCATCTTTATTGCTACTGGTAATTTTGTACCAGAAGTTGCTGTGTAAATATTTATTTTTTTAAATTGTTTTTCATCACATCAGATTATATTTTCCTATTTAAATTTCTAGTATTTATAAATTGATATCTGTCCAATGCATGACAAGTTAGGTAGATTAGCTGATCAAAAGTTTCTGGCCTCACTAAGAGGTTTCATTTAAATCAGAACTGTATAAATAATTGCCTGTGTTAATAAATAAAAGCCATATTTACACCCCCATGACACCTAGTATAGGTTATAACCCTTTGGCTCCCATAAGTGACCAAGGCAGAATTTCTCTGTACAGTGCCAATATGATGTCAAGCAGACAAGTAATGAGCATAGCTCACAAAGACAAATATAAACAGTGGATTAGTTGATCCAACACCAAATTCTCCAAACTAACATTACAAGAATCATATGGCAGACAGTAAGGAGAATTACTTAATATGCAATCTTCGTAGTGAAAGGGTTGAGATTAAATGTTTTCTCCTACCTCTGGGAAGACATAAGTTTAGAACTTGTAATTGCTTCAAGTTTGAATTTGAAAGGGGTAAAGAAAACAGTAATTTTATGAGCACATTATTTTTGTAAAAAGTCATCATAATAAACTAGACTTGCTGAGTTACCTTTGTGCCTCGTTTTTATTTATCTTTGGGTTAAGGTTTGTGGCAATAATTTGAAGGGAACACCTGTTTTTAAATTACATTTTTAATCCCTTTCATCCCTAAGGGTTACAAGCATCCATTTTCTCCTCATGATATCACTCGTAAATCAAACACCAGAGTCTTGAAAATCAGTTAATGATTGCTCTTTAACCAAGCTCTTGATTTTTAAACAAACTCTTCTTGTAAGTTTCATAAGGAATCTATAGAGAAGAGTAAGGAGAATATGCTTGCTGGTGTAAGGGGGGCAGGGGTGGAGAGGGAAAAGTTATTATTTTTTGCTTGAAAGTTCACTTTGTTCTTTCTTTTTCATTCACTTGAGTAGGATGAAAATTAAAATTCAATACCTCTCCCTTCTTTTCACCATTGGGGACTATGATATGGTCACTTGTCATTTCTACCATAATTAACTTGTGGAATAAAAGCTGAAATATAATGTGATGAAGTCATTAGGATTAGTGTTTGGCCAGACAATCTACAGACAGGAGGCAACATTGCCAAAATTGGATGGGGACAAATTTGTACTTCTCCCTACCCTTACAAATGAAGGAATTGTTAGAAGCAGTGAAACTGTGACAAATAGAGAGAGTAATACACTCATTTTTCTAGGATTTGCTTATTGAACCATTGACACTGTCACCAGAGGCCTATATTAGGTGTATTTGTTTATATTTATTGGTGTTTCATTTAATTAGTCATTTAAGTATTTAAACTAGTTGCCAAGTATTGTATCTCAACTGAAAGTTTTTTTTTTTTTTTTTTCTGACTGACCTTTTCTTTCCTGGTTTAATTGTATTGTAATTATTTTAGTTAAAGCTCTCTTCTACTCTTGTAAATTCTTTTTGCTGACCTTAGGCCATTTGAGCCTCCGGCTTTGGCTGTTCTTGTGTATTTTTTTCTTTCAATGTGGGAATAGCAGGAATGAATAAACTTAGTTGCCACGGAGTTGCCACATCATGTGAAACCTCACAGATGTAACTATAAATGCGGAACAATTATTAATCTGAGGGGAAGTGAGTTTCAAGACATACCCGAGCTAGAAACCTTTTTGGATCGAATATTCTAAGGTAAGACTATGATTGGTCGGCATTTTAATACGTTATTATCCAATCACGAACTTCCTTCGCCTACCGTTTACTTCAACGTCCGCACATTTTGTATAAGTAACAGAAACCTATTACTCTACATGCATTTCAACTCGCTACAGGACGTATTTCTAGAAGTAGTATTCAAAGCTAAAGAATAATATGTCTGGTCGTGGTAAAGGAGGAAAAGGTCTCGGAAAAGGGGGTGCAAAGCGTCACCGAAAGATCCTTCGTGACAACATTCAAGGTATTACCAAGCCGGCCATCCGTCGTCTTGCTCGCCGTGGCGGTGTCAAGCGAATCTCTGGTCTGATCTACGAGGAGACTCGTGGTGTTCTCAAAGTTTTCCTTGAAAACGTTATCCGCGATGCAGTTACATACACCGAACACGCTAAGAGGAAGACTGTGACAGCCATGGATGTGGTTTACGCTCTGAAGAGACAAGGCCGCACTCTGTACGGATTTGGCGGTTAGACTGAAGTCTACGAACACAGAAAACGGCTCCTTTAGGAGCCACCAGATTGTTAAAGTGAATAGCCGACTTGTGAGCGACTAACTCAGCTACCTTTCTCCTCTATTAAAGTAGTCAACAAAGAAAACACTTAATTTGCCCTCACCTCCAAATTTTCAATAAAGTCAAAAGCGCTGTGAACCTGGATTTTCGTCACCTTTTATCGGCCCAAGTATTTGTGAGCACGAAACTTCTCGACGAAATGATTAGTTTTCTCATTTGGAGTTATCTTGACTTGTATACAATGAAACCGATCCATTAACTTCTTTTGAAAACTTTTTGTACTGTTGTAAGTTTTCCCTAAATATCCTGAAGCACTTGTTAAGTGACAAGCAGTCAATTTTCCTCAGAGTATCTCAACTGAATCAAACACCAAGTTCAAAGGAAATCACTATCTATTAAAGAAGCTGGACTGTTAAAACATATTCTCCTTATCAGTACTATGGAAGACACAATGACTATAGGGAGTATGCATTATGATCATGATAAGAGGGTGCAAAGGGTAAATTAAGTTTGAGGACATATTTCAAAGGGAAAATAGTACAACAAGAAAAAAAAGTAAGAACATTCACACTGGATTAATGTTGATTGTGATGTTTATTTCTATATCACTGGGAGTAAGGTGCATCTTTTATTTGGAAAAGTTGAGACACTAGCTTCGTTTTGTGATAAAGATCTCAAATCAAATTCCAGGGTACTTGCTTGCATGTAAATTCTTTAGGTTCAGTGGTTCACATTCCTGAAAACAAACTTGTGAAGTGCAAATTTGTTAGATTTGATTCCATTTATTTTGATCCAAAGGTAAAGTGTCGAAAGTAAACAAAACAGAGATTTTATCCCTTATTAAACAAAATTATGCCAATTAACTTCTGATTGCTATTGACACTTCTCCTTCAAAGAGAACCTTATACATTTGAACTCACTGAAAGTGGTCTGAGAGTTTTGGGTTGTAAGGTTCTACGAAAGATCTGCAAACCCCAAAATTTTCACCACTTAAGTTAATGGCTTGCTTTAGAACACCCTCAAAACTCACTCCATAGAGCAGAAGAAATAATACAAGAGAATTATTAGAGGGAAAGTATAAACCTTCAATATAACTACACTATAAATTATTTTTAACAACAACAGTAAAAACAAATTGCCTATAAAAGTTTTAAAAATGGAACAATTTTCAACCGAGTGTAGAAACTAATCAGGTTTTGCTTTTCTTCACTCTGATTGGTCTAGAAAACTTGCGCCACTTTATCAACCAACCAGAATCAAAACTAAACCTTGATTGATGACATTCTTCTTGCACCTCTGGCTGCTTGATTTCCCTTTGAGTTCTCACAGCCCCTTGACTCTGATTGGCTGTTGTGATTACTTTGGTTTATGCCTTACCACACTCAATCGAAATTTGCTCTATTTTTTGCACTATAAAATAACATCGTAGCATGCAGGTGATATAAATCACCCCTACAACATGCATTGATAAATTCCCACAAGTAGATACCACATGAAAATTGGATAAGATGGACAGTTACCATTATTTTAATGAGAAAATAAGGACTTAATTGACAAGACCTTTGGCAGGGATTTAAGTAAGGGGTGAGTTATCGTGTACATTAACTGTGGGTCTAAACAAATTCAGCAAAGAACTGTACATGTATTTAGTAATGTGAACCTATAATAAACAAACTCAATAATACTAGGAAAGCAATAACTGATTAACTAATTATTTTTGAGATGTAGATGGCAAGAGGGAGTCAAAGGTTCCTTTCCTATGGACTTTTAACTATAGATTAATTTTATTTTCAGTATTCAAGAGGGTTAGTTTCTAAAGAAACTGTGGTGCTGCATTGGTGGGGGTGACAAGGTAATTTGGTTTTATCAACTGAGTTGAAATTGTAAATTGGCCACCGTAAAGAGTTAGAAAGCTGACGTTTTGAGCGTTGGGCCCTTCAATCAGAGCAAATGACGAAGGGCTAACACTTGAAATTTCAGCTTTTTAATTCTTTACCGTGGCTAATTTACAATTTCAACTTAGTTGATAAAACCAAAATATTTTTGGTAAGACATTGCAGTTTAATGACTGATTTCAAAATGCATTACAGGCAGTTGTAGTCTTTGTTCAGTTGCCATCCATGTCTAAAAATATCTCTGCTTAAGAGCACTTCCTCATGTAAGAAAAATACTATTGCCTTTGATGCCACAAACAAGACTCCATGCTTGTGTACTAATCACATACTAATCCATTTAGTGAAATGAACCATCTAAGTTGAGACCTCCACAGTTAGCATGAATTATCTCTGTGGCCTTTCACTTACTTGACCTACAACAGCAGTTTCTATCTTTCCTGGTCACATCTCAATGAGATTTGGACCTAGATCTTGATCTGGATCGGGAATGGGACTTTCTGCAGAGGAAAAAAATGTTGAATGCAAAATGAAGGGAAAGGCTAAAAGAATGAAAAAACCTTAGAGGCAAGTGTCAGATCTGGATGAGATAAGAGAAATGAAAGTGAAATTTAGATTAGGGTCAAACAGAAGTTTATGTCCACCATCAGCAGCTATAACCATAAAGGCCATCCACTTTTTCACTCAAAGTTTATAGGAAGACTGAAAACAAAAATTGTTATACTAAAAAAAGGGAGGGCAGGAAGAAATTTCATCATTTGGTTGGCCAATGGGTTAGAATTCTGAATGATGGAATTTAAAAATTGATCCACCATATTTAACAGTCAGTCAGTCTGCCTGCCATCTTTATTACAACCCATCCCCTTCTCACAAAATTTGCATATCACATTCCAATATCACTCATTCCTATCCTTTGCATATCCATGAGGAAAAAGATGTCTGCAACCCATCTCTCTAACTATGTCATGTTCATTGATCAAACTGGGTAGTTGTGTGGAAATTTGACTGAGTAAATGCAAGACATTCAATCCCGATTGTAACACAAGTACCAAACCTCCTCTCCCTTGGACTTTGTTTGGGAGATCCTGAGACCGAACGAGACCTTGATCTTGAACTGGAGCTCTTAGAACGCGACCTTGAGCGACTACGAGACCGCGAAGAGATGCTTCTCGACCTAGACCTTGATGAGGAGGAAGACGAACCACTACTTCCACTGTGTCGCTTTCTCTTAGTGGGAGGAGAACCCGACTTGGATCTAGAACGCCTGGAGATAAGGCAGTTTCAAAAAAGATGAAATTAGATTAAACATCATTTGCAACACCCTAAAGCTTATTAAGTCTCATGAGGAATTAATTTTTTTTTTTTTAGCAAATTCCATTCATTTCAGCTGTTATTCTTGTGGAGCACATTAAACAGTTAGGGATAGCAATAAGTTGGTGTCACACATTAAAATCACAAGAATAAAGGACATGATCACCAACTTATGAAGCTCTGGATTGTTAAAGACATTTTCCTTGTCAGCACCTTAGGAAATATATGCAGAGATTATCCATACTGAAGTTAGGGTGTAAATGGTTAAATCATGTTAGAAAGTTAGCGACACAGCTGTACCAATTAATTATTATTATTAAATTATTATGTGTGAACTATTACAAACTAATGATCTCCAGTAAATGAGGAGTAATATTAAAAACAAACAATCAAAAATGATAAAATCAAAGCAGTCACTCTTACAGGAGGAATGAGGCAAATAGGAAAAAAAAAATCAGAGCCAAATCATACAGTTGTTGGCATGTTTTGTTAAGCTTTTTATCCAATACTTGAGAGGGGAAAATATGGTAACAACTTAAAATGCTATCTACCTCATCCTGAGAATTATTTAATAATTAGTTATATTTATTTGTACTCCTATAGTGTATTGGTTTATGATGATTTTGTAATCTTTGAAAAAAAATTTAGAAACATTAACTGGATGGATTTATTGAAATAGCAAAACTATAGAAATAGGGTAAAGAACTTCCTTTCCACTAGCATTAGAGTAAGACTTTCAGATGGGGGGAAAAATGAATCCATTCATAGATCATCTTTAGTTTATTTTACATGCACAGCAAGATTCAATCCTTGAAAAATCCTTAATATATAATATGATCACCTATAATGGCAACTAAAATAGAATATATTTTTTTAAATAAACCACAGAATTGGCAGAGTGCCCGACCCCACCTGAATGAACAGGAATTGGTGGGGTAGACAGGGGGGAGGAGTTTACCGGCCCTTATCCTTGTTTTCATTATCTGAATCATCATCAAGTTGGTACTTGGACAAGTCACCATCTTCATCATCATCATCATCATCATCCTGATTACGAAAAGAGAAAATTTGGATCAAAAACTGAAAATTCACCTACAAAAAGTTTTTAGAAATACTATCATGCTTTTTTGTTTGCTTTCATCTATATAATCTTTTGTGAGTAAAACATATGATTGCAAAAATATTTACTAATTTTCAATTTTAATTCTGCACATAAAATGTGAAGGATAACTGTTATTACGTGTACAGAGTGATTATAATGCATAGAATTTTAAAGGTTACAACTTACAGTAAGTACCAGGTAAACTTTACTTTCTAGTCATGAATAATCCCTCTTTGCTAGTTACAATTTGTGCTACCTCATCATCCAAATTGTATTTTGACAGATCGCCTCCTTCATCATCATCATCATCATCCTCCTCCTCCTCTTTGTTGTTAAGTTCTTCTGTTGGTGGTTTCTCATTGGAAAACATTCAATTTATTATCTGGCATGACTAAGCTCATGAGAGAAATATGATACACCTATAACTAAGTTTTTTATCAATGTTTAATCCTGTTATTACAGACATCAATGCCTCGGTATACTTGTTCGATGTCCTTCACAATCCCAATTTCTTTGACTCAACCCTTTGACCCCTAGGGGTGATAAGCGACTAATTTCTTTAAAAATCTGACCCCTTACCATTAGCATCACAAGAATAAATTAAATGGTAACCAACTAGGGAAGCTCTTGATTGTTAAACAAATTTTCCTTGTCAGCACCTTAGGAAATGTTAAAGAACAATTAAGAAAGTATAAATACCCATCCTCTATTAAGCCCTCCCTCTAATATGCCACCCCCCTCTTATAGGCA